TGACTAGAAGTACACCAGAGGAAAGCCCCAATCAAATGATGGTTTTCGCTTGCGAGATCGACCAGGCACCCGGAAGCCCGGGAACCCCAAACCTACCGAAATCGGCCCGGAACCAATAACCGCAAACCGCGGAACCCAACCTGCTTCCAAAATCGGCGGGGAACTTTCGCCAAATCTTTCAACTTCCGCTAGGACCCCTTGAGTGCAAGCACTGATTGGGGAATTTCGAGGCGAATCCAATCGTGGAGACGAGGGCCCTCCAGGACCAACAGCAGCAGCGGCACGGCGTTCGCGCCGTGACGGCCCTGGCGTAGGTCCTTGGAACAGCGTGGATCCTTCAAGCTTGGAGGATCGACAGCGTTTCAAGCGTCACGTCGTTCCATTAGAGGCCTCCTAGATTTTGGACGCCCGAGATGGGTACGGAAAAAACGGGTACGATGCCCAACAACTAATGTTGCCCCAAACCGACAGCGGCCGCTGCTGGGCAGGCGGCTTTTTGTCTTCAAAGAACAACGTCCGCGGTGGCGCGAGCAGCGGGTCCTGTTCAAAATGAACGGGAACTGCTATTGGGCATCGCACCCATTCTTTATGTACCCATGCCGATCGTCCTGATAGATGGGGTCCGAGTAGATGGGGTCGGAGGATCTCGCCATATCGCCGATACATCGGCAATGCATCGCCGACGCATCGGCGATTATGCATCGGCCGCGCACTGGCGACGTCGGCGATGCATCGGCAACGTACGTCGGCGCAGAGAAACTTGGACCCCACTTCGAGACGCATCGCTGATACATCGGCGGTGCGGCGCGAGGCTCCGACCCCATCGGCCCCGACCCTATCTGGGAGGCCCAGATCCGTGTTGGCCGATCCTGGGCCTCTGCCAGCATCCAACCTTGAACACCTGCGCTGGGGTCGCAGCCGCGTCGACACGACCTGAGCAGGGACCGACCGCCCCGGCATTTCTATTGTCCTACCGCAGAATGTTCTTAGAACCCCAAAATCTTCTGCGAACGCAAGCAATGTTCTTAGCACATAAGCACGATGTGATGAAACAAGGCCAGACATGTTCTAAGAACAGTTCGTGGAAACCACAAAAGGTTCTTAGAACATTGTTTGGTAGGGCTGTAGGCGAGCCAAGACGCTTCGTCACTGCTTGAACGACACGAACCGCATCCCTGACAGCCCGCCAAGACCCCGGCTCCCCCCCCCTGGCGGCGGTCCTGGGCCTCAGGCGGCGTGGTAGGGCGCCCGGGGCCGCTCGGCGGCGGGCTCGCCCCGTGCCTGCAGAGAGGCCTCCCAGCTGGGGTCGAGCATGCGGTGACAACTCGTGGGAGCCTCCACGGCAGGGCTGAACCTAAACGGTGCTGTTTCGTTCTCGTTTCGTTTTCGTTTTCCTTCGTTTTGTCTTCAATCCACCTTTAACGCAAGACGAAATCGAAACGAAAACGGCCCACGAAATCGCCAAAACACCGTTTAGGTCCACCCCTGTCCCACGGCATCTTGTCGGCTCTTGCGAATCGACGCGAATCGACGCGACGCCCGTCGATGCTGAATCGACGCCATCTGACGAGAAAAATCGGCACTTTCCCATCGACTACCAGACGCTAGTCGACGCCAGTGCGCTCTAAAGACTGAGGTTGCGAGGGTATACGAGGCCCCCACGACTTGCTGCCGGACGAGTAGCTTACCGTCGCTCGGACGTCCATGCCCCGCGCACTGTTCGGTTTCGTGCGTGCCCTTGTCTTCTCGAGACGGTCCAAAATGCTCCAAGGTGGTTCAGACCCTCTGGCGCTGGCCCCTCCTCCTCCTCCTCCTCCTTCTACCGCTGCTCCCCGAACCTCCCCTGAGGTGCGGTGTGACCAGGATGTCGGGAAGAATCCAGCCGTGGCGACGAGGGCTCTCCAGGACGAGCAGCGGCTTTTGTATATCTCCTCCTCCTCCTTCTCCTCCTCTGAGATGCGGCGCGATCCTCCGACCCCACCTACGGTCGGGAACTGCTGCTTAGCATGTCGCCGCGGCGGCCCCGGCGATACGCTATCCCCTGTAAGCGGATCGCGTTAGGTCGGACATGTCCTCCTTCAGGCGCACTTCGGAGGAACAGAACCCACTGTCGACAAATAGCTTGAACCATTGAAAAACAAAAGCATCGCCCCCAGAAAAAAAACATATTCCTCCTGTAGAGGGACATGCCCGACCGACTTGAGGATAGCGTGTCGCCTCGCTCCGCGGGGCGGAAGTCGGGCGTTGGCAGAACTGGGTTTAGTGGAACCTGGTTTAGTGATCTATACTGGGGGCGCCCCCCCGTCCCATTTCCACAAACCGAAACTGCCGTCACCCGAAAAACGCCAATTACGGCAAACCTGGTTTAGTGATTCTGGCAAATTTCCGGGCCCCCAGACCCTACCACTAGCCGGGTCCCCTTACCTGGGGTCCTGGCTATACCCGAGGAAGGCTCGCACAGGCTCGGGACGCCGAAGCCTGGCAGCCTGGGCAGTGGCCAGCACGCCGTGCCGAAGCGTGGCGGGGGAGACACGGCGGAGCGACACGCTACAGCAGGGGCGCCCGACCTTATCCTGCTCCTCCTCCTCCTCCTCCTCCTCCTCCTCCTCCTCCTCCTCCTCCTCCTCCTCCTCCTCCTACTACTCCTCCTGCTCCTCCTGCTCCTCCTCCTCCTCCTACTCCTCCTCCTCCTCATCGTCCTCCTCCTCCTCTTCCTCCTCCTCCTCCTCCTCCTCCTCCTCCTCCTCCTCCTCATGGGCCCTGGAAACGACAGGGCCGTTTCTTTACCGGTTCCGTCTTGCCGTTTTTGTGGCCGGTTCCGGCGCCGTTTTTGTTACCGGTTCCGTCGCCGTTCTTCTACGGGTTCCCGCTCCGGTTCCAATTCTGGAGCCGTTTGTGCTGCCGTTTCCAGTCGCCGTTTTTTTGCCGTTTCCATTTTCAACGGGCACTTTTTCGGAAACGGTGAAAAAACGGCCCTGCCGTTTCCGGGGCCCACTAAGGGCCCACCCTGAGACCCTGGGACGCTCGTTGGTTTTTGGTATGGGAACGTCGCGCTGTCCGCAGCAGAGCCATCGGGGCCCAAGAAACCTAGGGGCACCCCGGAGGCAAGCGGGGAGCTTCTTGGCATGGGTCTGCACTGCAGGAGCTGGGAAGCGGCCAGCGCGTCGTGCCGAAGCGTGGTGGGTCAGGAACGGCGGAGCGGCATGCCGTCCAAAAGCCCTCGACCGCACTCGGACTTCACTCGTGGGGAAACCAAAAGGTATCCATACTGCTGCTCCAGGACCTCTCCCTGGGTGCGTTCGGACCAGCATTTCGGAGCGAACCCAGCGGTGGCGACGAGGGCCTCCCAGGAGGCCCGACAACTGCGAGCACGAGGTAAAGGGTAGCGGTATGGGTGCCGCTTCCTCCTCTGAACTCTTAGCGGGCGAAGAATGGTATGAGATGCCCTTTTCCGCCGTCGGGGAGGCCTGCCCCCATGGGTGGCTGTAAAATCTATACCCCTACGTGGCACCGTAGGGGGATAAACTCTGCGACCGCCCAGGGAGCAGGCGTCCCCGACGGCGGACCCGTCTATTTTGCAGTCGGAGGGTACCCTCCCCAAGATCCAAGAGAACATTCAGCAAACACCAAGAACACTAGGGTACCCTCCCCGAACCGACCTCGATCTTATACCTCCCCAGACATCCGGCTGCTCCGATTTCTTCGATGCGTGGGCCCCAGAGGTCTGGAACACTTCCCTTGGGCCAGTTTTGCGTCCTGAGCCGTTTTGTAACGCTCTCGAGGCCCCGCGAGTGCCCCCGGACACCGAAAACTGTCAAAAACCCGCCGCTTCCATTGTTGCTGGAGCGTAGGATACCTGGGTCGGACAGACTGCGTATCGTTCCCCCGAGATCCGAAGTTGAAAAAAAGTGCAACATCGCAGAAAAATCATGCCCGAACCCCAAAGCCCATCTTTCTGCGTCATCTTTCGAGCCAGATCCATCTGTGAGGGTCAAGGGGCCCGAAACCGCATAAAAAGGCCTGTTGTGAAAAAACTGCAGCGCCAGGGTCTCAGGGTATACCGTCCTACAGGTGCATTGTGGACGCATCATGAAAAATAGTCAAAACAAATGTAAGACTAGTACAAACAAATCAGCCCTTTGACCATTCTTGAACACTCCTCCTGAAGAGGGACGTGCCCGACTTGACGCAAAGTTTGGGAGGACTATTCTTGAACCCTCCTCCTGTATCGGCGGTGGACAAAGCTCCCTTTAGCAAACCTCCCCTTCATGAAAAAACGGCCTGGGACCGAAAACGACGGACCTGGAACCGCAAAAATGACGGCCGCGATGCCCTCTCGCGAACCGAAAACGGCCCATTCGCTAATCGACGTCTCAGGGTAGAAGGTCTGTCAACCTCCGACTGTAGAGGGACGTGCCCGACTTGCTGCGATTTCGGGGATCTTCTGACCCGGGTCAATCCAGACCCAGGTCAGTCAGGCCTTGCAGAATCCTGCAAGATCCTGCAGGGTCCTGCACACAAGCCCGGGCCAATGCAAAGGATCCTGCAGGATCCTGCGGGATCCTGCACCCAAGCCCGGGTCAGTGCGATCCTGGCCATGCAGGATCCTGTAAGATCCGGCGCTCTGGCTGACCCCCGTTGGCCTTGACCCGCGTCTCTTGAGCCTCGAGAGAGGAGGAGGAGGAGGAGGAGGAGGAGGAGGGAGGAGGAGGAGGAGGAGGAGGAGGAGGAGGAGGAGGAGGAGGAGGGAGGAGGAGGAGGAGGAGGAGGAGGAGGAGGAGGAGGAGGAGGAGGAGGAGGAGGAGGAGGAGGAGGAGGAGGGAGAGGAGGAGGAGGAGGAGGAGGAGGGGGGGAGGAGGAGGAGGAGGAAGGAAGAGGAGGAGGAGGAGGAGGAGGAGGAGGAGGAGGAGGAGGGGCTTGCATTGACCCCCGTCTCGAGGCTCCCGCGAAAGCTGGGGGAAGCCTCGGGCGCCGGGCGCGGCGCGTCCGCGGCCAGGGCGCCCGCCAGGCGCGCGAGCACGGCGCCGCCCGCCGCCGCGGAGGCGCCCGCCGCGGCGCCCACGGCGGTGCCGAGCGTGGCCTCTCGGCGGGCGGGGCCGCCGGAGGCACGGGCCTCTCCCCAGATCTCCGACGATCTCGGCCGCCGCCTCCGCCACGCCCAGACGCCCCCCTCCTCCTCCTCCTCCTCCTCCTCCTCCTCCTCCTCCTCCTCCTCCTCCTCGACCTCGACCTCCTCCTCCTCCTCCTCCTCCTCTTCCTCCTCCTCCTCCTCCTACTCCTCCTCCTCCTCCTCCCTCTCCTCATCCCGGCTGGTTTTCGCTGGTTTCGGCCTCGGGGGGCCCCGTGCCGGCCCTCGAGACAGTCGAGGAGCGACTCGGGATGAAAGCCGGTTCCGGGGAGGGGGTCCAGACCTCGGGGGGTCGACGTTGTGAATAGTAGGGGGCCGCATGCGAACCCTACCTGTCGCCTCAGCGCCGCGCACGCTACTCTTCAAAGTTTGCATGCGCTTCACGGTTGGAGGCGGTGCCTCTTCAAAATGTGGCCCTCGCCTCCTCAGCGCCGGGCATTTCGTGCCAATGAAAGTTTACAGCAATTTCAAAGATTCTGATTCCTGGTGTCCCAGCAATGGTGTTCTGGCACGGTGTAAGACTGTCTGGGCGTGACAGGCATGCTGATTCGTGGTGTTGAAATAACAGAAACGGCGTTCTGGCACGATTCAGGATCGTCAGGACGCAACAATGGCGTTGATTCGCGGCACTGGAGAACCATTATTATAAGTGTTCTGGAAGGGCTCCTCATTTTCAGGCGGTTGTCTTCCCACGGGGCACGTACCTCAGTGAACATGAATCCTTGTACGGACCTGTGAATAGGACTAGGAGAACTTGGAGGAATGTTCTATTGCACCATCGCTCATGAGCCTTAGGTTTACACTGGTCCTCCTCCTCCTCCACCTCCTCCTCCTCCTCCTCCCATTCCTCCTCCTCCCCCTCCCAGTGAGTAGTCTCCAGGGAACGACATCCTGGCGTGCAGTGGGCTCGTTAAGGGTATGTCAAGGCTTTAGTGGTTTTGTAATGGTTTTCTGGTGGTTCCAGGCGCTGGTGGTCTAAAATCCATAAAGCCAGTTGCTGCTAAAACTAAAGCAAATCCCATGTGTCCTAACATTGGAAGCTTAAGCATTTAGAACCCCAGGGTCCAACAGTAAAGATACCATGCAGGTTACAGGGGAGCTAGCTACGCAACCAAGGCGAGCGTCGGAACTAGAGCTTGACACCGACTGGCGGGAGCGGCGGGAGGCAATACTAAAACCCACTGCCGCTCATTTATCCTCTCTGGCTGGGCACCCGCACAGCTGCCCGTAGCAGCTTGCGCGGGACGGCGTGGGGCCACAAGGGAGGCGAGGGTCGCGGAGCATGGCCAGGGGGAGACGGATAGATCCCATCAGGAGTGGCGGGATAGAGAGGCAGAGGAGAGCGGAAGAAAGAGGCAGACAGAGATGGACAGAGACGTAGAACGCAAGGCGTAATAGAACACGCCATCGTGGTCATCGCCATCGCCGTCGCAGATTCTGTCAATCTCGTTTCCGTCGTCGGCGACGGATACGGCGCCGACGCAGACGGCGAGGGCGGTGGCTATGACCACGATGACGGAGAACTCGGCAGTACGTATCTTCGTAGAGACGCGGGTGCCGATTCCGAAGAGAGTCGATCAATTCGGCGATAATGCGGATGCCAAATTGGCATCCGCGTTATCGCCGAGTTGATCGATTCGAAGAAATTCGGGTCTGCTTACTTACCTTGACGCCCTCCTCGTTCCTCGTCCTCCTCATGGTCTTCCTCTCCCCCCCAGTGCGTGCGTCCTACCTTTCCTCCTCGTCCTGCTCATCCTCTCCACAGTTTCCCCTCCCCCCTCCCCCGTATCCTTTCTCATGTCATCCACGATCCCCCCTCCTTTACGCACTTCCCGTGCGTCCCCAGTGCCCTCCGCATCAATGATGCGGAGGGCACTGGGGACGCACTCGAAGCGGCTAAACTATGTGCACGAGCGCCATCCTACCCAGCTGCATCACCGACATCACCATGAAACCCCCACTCTGTCACTACCAATCGGAACCCCAATAAATCCTCATGATCCCCATCGCCATCACTGCTCCCCGTTCACTTCCCTCTTCCTTCGCAGGGTCACTATCATCACCGCTCGTTTTACGTTATCCGAGTCCCCCCCCAACCCCCTCATCTTCATCTCCATCCCCCCTTCCCGCGGTGTCGCCGCGAAGCGGTATTGCTACCATCGTCGTCATCGCTTTCGTTTTCATCCCCATCATCTTCATCATCACGATCCTCGCCCGAATCGTCACCCAGGCCGTCGTTGTCGTTGAGTTCGCGATCGTCGCCAGGGGCCCTCCTCACCCCGTAGCCCGCATAAGCTTACTCCTCCCCGTTCCCTCTCCCCATCCGCCTCCATCCCCTGTAATCCTTTCATGCCCCATCACGCGGCGTCCTTCCTCACCCGTTCGTCATCCTCAGCATGCCATTGTGTATCCTATGCATCGCCCGTATATTTAACAATGCCCTCCTCCTCCTCCTCCTCCCACCCCTATCGTTCACTCTCCTCCGTGTGTGCGGCCACTGCACTTTGACGCGCTGCGTGCTGGGCGCCAGCCGAGTCTGCTCCAGCTGGCAGCAGGCCTGTCCACGCAGGCCGTAGCGATGCTCTCGCCCCCAGCGACAGCATGCGTCAGCACGGTCGGCGGGCTGGAGTAGCCGTCTACTCCCCGACCTTCCCGATGTAGTCAACCACGGGGCCCTTGAACGAGGCCCAGATCTTCGAGTCGCCGCACGTGGCGAAGGTGTGCTCCAGGTCCCGCTCGATGAACTCCCACTCCTGCTTCTTGCCATCGTCGTTCACAGCGATGGCCTTCGGGAAGATCGGGAACACGATCATCGATGCTGTCGGGCTCTCGTCGGCGGAGCCCTTGCCGAGGAAACTCGTGACGAAGGGGACGACGCCGTACGGCACGTAGAGCACCTCGTCTTTATTCAAGAAAGCTGCTGACGACTCCGTCCACGCGGTCTTGCAGCAATCATCCTCGTTGCTCTTGGCCCACTGCTGCAAGGCGCTGAGGGCCGTGAGGCCGCCGCGGAGAAGAGAGCCCGCTGCCACGAGCTTGAGCAGCACAGTGGGGGTGCCCACGTTGACCACGAAGGACGGCAAGCCAGGGAACGGCCAGCTGTTCGAACTCCAGCTCCAGGAGTGGTTCTTCGTCAGCACCAGGAACGGCTTGCGACTCAACTCCATGCACGCCTCGTCTGCCTCCAAGGGCCCGCCCTTGAACTCCACGCGGAAGTCAACCTCGTCCAGACACTTGCCCAGAGCGATCGACGTCATCGCAGCTTGGTTGGTCATCAATTTCTCGACCTTCTGCGTTTTTCTCACGATGATGTCCCAGTTGTTCGTGATGGCAGCTCCGAGCTTACTCATGGTTCCAGTGTTGAACTCCTGCAGCTTGACATGGAACGGATCCTCCATAGCCGAGTCCACGGAGTAGCTCTCGACGGAGCCCTTCGGGCGAGGAGGAGCAGGGAAGGGCAGCACTGAGAAAGTGGGCAGGTGGGGATGGATAAAGACGAGGAGGGGACGTAGGATGATCACGAGGGTGATAAGGAAGAAGAGGATGAGGAGGATTGTCTGAATGAAAACCTTATTCTCGTGCACCAGGCCGCCGAACTCCGCCGCGAGCGCCTGCGGCATCCCAGTGTTCTCGAACATGGTGACGTGTTTCTTCAGCTGGGTCGTCTGCTTCCGCTTGTCCTTGGCCTTGCCCTCCTGTTGCTGCCTTCTCACCTCCGCGATGCCAGCGGCGATCTCCTCTAGCGTACTGGCCTCCGTCTGGATCTCCTCCAGCTTCTTGATCAGATCGTCCCTGGCCTGGTTGGAGTCACTCGTCTGGCGCCACGCCTTGATGCCGTTCACGTCGTTGTCGAGCTCGCTGAACTTCTGGATGAAGTCACTCTTGGTCTCCTTGTACTTGTAAGTCGCCACGTCGCCGTCGTCCAGGACCTGGTCGTAGCCCTTGTCCAGCCTCTTGAAGCTGGCCTCGTTGCTGTAGGGGATCGCCCTGAGCGCCTGCTTGAACATCGAGGTCAACTCCCTCTTCATGGCAGCGAACGCGGCTGGGGCCATCCTCTTCTCGAACTCTGGCCACACTCGCTCCTTCTCCTCAGCCTCAGGCCCCAGCTCATCCTCAGCATCAGCCTCATCGTCCTCAAACTCGTCGGCGGCGCGAACTGACTTCGCAGCGACGCCCTGCCTCCCGTCGGACTTCTTGGCACTGCCAGGACCTGCGCTAGATCCACCGCGCGAGGAAGGGGCTCTGCCAGGCACCTTGCCAGCCGATCCGCTCTTGAGCGTGTGCGATGGCGGGGGCTGCAGCGACATCGGCGAATGCGAGCGCATCTTCTTCGCAAGCTCGAGGGTCGGAGCCTCCAAGTCAGACTCGTCGAAGTAGTTGGTGGCCGTGGCAGCGTCGTCATCGGATCCAGCCGCTGTCTGATGGGAGGCACGTTTCCCCTTCCCGCACCAGTTCAACTCCCCCGAAACCCACCGAGTATCTGAGATCTGAGGGAAACGGAGGCGGGGGGGAAGGGTACCGGAACCCTTCAGAGATCGTCAGTAGGGATGGGAGCTTTATGATGGGCGTTACGATTGCTAACAGTCAAGTTGGTTTTGTGAGGTATTCGGGAAATTAGCTAACGCTAGAAAAGGGCCATCAGCACTCCTCTAGTCTATTTGGCTGGCCTTATTTGGATGGCTGGCCGCCTATTTAGCAGTTAATTCAACATACATAGCGTAACAATGTGGACATGTAAGCACTAGTACCTCGCTGGTCCCCCCACTGTACCATGGGATCCTATTGTATTCACAGCGGGCGAACGGGAGAGTTGATCTGGCGTGGGAGGGTAGGGTGGATACACATTTAATTGAATGCGCTGCCATTGCCGACGATGGTGCAGACAACGCCGAGCTCCCACGAACCCGCATCGCCTTGTGGCCTCTGATGGTGCTGAAGATGTCGTCGGCCTT